CAAAATTTTTCAGCACAACCGGTCTTCTACTTGTATAAGTATACCTACCACCATGTACGAATAGCGCGTGAGGAGTAGTCGATAGACTCCATTTCTCCCCATGGGACTTCCCGATCTCTGCTAGGGTCCTCCTAATTAAAAGGGAATTCTTATTTGCTGTGGCTAGATTCAAGGGTTCTGCTACTCAATAAAAATGGTACATATAGTTGTTTGAGGAATAAAAGATGAATTTTTCTATGTGGCTCGGTTTCCATCTTGGAGTACGCCACGTGTTCGAATCGAGCGGAAAATAATAGATGTGTTCGGATAAGCCACTAGCCTTTAATTGGCCAGAGTAGAGTGCCGATACCAGTACTTCTCCGACGTTTTGGTAGCTCTGCTTATAATAAACCAATTCAGATAAATGATTTTTCCCACTCTGGAGGCACAATAATTAATGGATCATACTCGTTACAAATTCTACGCCATGATGAATAATTTTACCTTCACTTTCCAATTTTCGGCATTCAGCCCTAGGATGACAGGGTAGAATATTTATAGGATATTTAGTTTGTATAAAATATGAAATATCCAATCAAATTAGATAGAGATGATAAAATGTTAGAGTAAAATTACTTGGTGGTATGGCCCAGCTGACTATCTTACCAACTTATCAAATCCACCTTAACGACGGGGCTCATGTGAGCCTATTTGAATACTAAAAAGCTGTATGAAGCACGGCTAGGAGGTCACCCTACCAGGTGATCAGTTAATGGGCATTAGATATTTCGTGGGAGAACATTTTCTTGTCATAGCCTTCTTTTAGATGGAACTTGGCCCCTCGTTTAGACCAAATGGCCCTTACCTAGCCATACCGCCTGCTTTAGACAGCAATTGGTTCTAAAGAGGCGGCTCATCTGTGGTCTATTTAAAGCCTGTCGTTCTGTTTACGAGTGTCTCAAAGTCGGGCACCACTTGAAAGTTCAGAAAAAAATCGCACAAATCAGAAATCTGCANGCATGGCGTCATTTTGATAGCCGCATGATAAGGCATTAGGCGGGCAGTAACATAAGCCACGTAGTGGGAGAACAACCCTCCTGTCTAGACCCTGGCCTCTGTGGTAGATTTCCGGTTACTCTATTCGCTGGTAAATTATTTCTTAGAAAGAGCGAGTTGGGATAGTGCAAAGCGAGACGGCGGTAACTTGGAAACACCGTGGGTTAATCCTAGGACGGCCAAATAGAGTGTACATAACTTCATCAGAGTCGGTTCAATGGTACCAGATTGGAATGGGAGGTAAGACACTGAGCCTACTGTACTCAATGTGTAGGCCGAATGCAAATTCAAATGCTTCTACTATTCTGAATGGATGTCGAATGCATGGGAGTATTCCACGAGCTCTGTCGATGTACACAACCATTTTTTTGTTTTAGAAAAAATCTACGATGGCGTGGTCTGTATAGGGAAAAAGGAGTGAGCATCATTGCGATACATCCGGCCCTTACACTGACCTGAAATTCGAGTCCTATGCCACCTAAGCTTTATATTCACCAGCAATGGGGCGCATTGCGTCCAACCTGGCTGGAAGCTTAAAAAATTCACGAGTGCTTCGACCCCATTTCGGTCCTACCTCAAACCACAGGTTAACGTGTAGATAGAATGATTTGGCCATTGAAGGCTTCAGCCTTACTCAAAGGAGATAGGAGGCGTGGCGCATCCCGAGAAGAAATAAATCAACATAAATTGTTATGCCCATTAGTGTTTTCATAATGTTTTTGCCCTCTTATCAGGTACAACAAACAGAAAGCCCAATTTATTTTTGTGTCTTTCCGCCTTATCTTTTCGACAGCCATAGGCCGGCGCGGCCCGCCTGAATTCCCATCAATGAAACACATCGTTATCGATATTTCTTTGCACCAGCTACTTCGTTGATAAAGTTTCAACTTCCTTTTTGTGGGAGTTCTTATGCGTAATGGGGATCCGTGGATCAAACGGACAGGCCCTCGTTCTTTTTCCGTTTTTGTTTCATTGAATTTCAATAACAGAATATGTTGAGATGGCATAAATTCACCGAAAGAGGCCCAAAAGTTGGGTACGTAACCTTTGTCCGATTCAGATTCGTACCTGAGTAATGAGCCACAGCACTAAGCTCGATCAATTGGAGGGAATTTCACGTCCAAGTAATGCTTATAAAGCTCATTGGAGCAAATGACCAAATTTTTTTTACTCAAGCTCTAGCCCGACCGGCTATCGTTTTTAGATGTATGACTTCTTCGGGGCCTGGGGGAGCAGACACCGACTGGTGCTCTATCCGACCCAGTCGCAATAATATGTACCATACCTTTTTAGATGAGGTGTATCGCCAAGTGGCAGTGCCGTCATACGCTCTCCAGAGACGCAGCCCTTGCTGATACTCGCTTACGCTGGCTAAGCCTTTAAAGTTTTTATGGGCGTTTAGCTGGTACCAGGTTTTTACAGAAGAATAAAAGCACTGACTTGCCCCCGGCTGGCCGGTGCGAGCGGTCTTTTCGCTATGGCCTAGTATAGTGAACTCATTGCTCTTCAGGTGCTCTGGGATGCATTTCTTTCACCGGTAAATATGAAATGCCGAACAAATGTGCTCTGATGAAGCTACCGTACTTCAGATTTTGATCCCGTTGATCTCGCACTGAGCCAATCAGCGCTAGTGCATTCACTGTAATATTGCGCGCAACCAATCATAAAAATTTGAAATTAGTTGCTTCAACCGTACTTTGTTTATCACTGGATAGGTTGTTCGTGATATCTTGTCTTGAAAATAGTTAGAGGGGTTGTTCCCTAGAACTAGGGACTAAAGAAGGAGGAAGCGTCTTTGCGGGACCCTAATAATTCTCTCTAACCAGGAATAGCACCTTTCTACCACTCCCACTTTTGGAAGAAATGAATTAGTGATCAAATGGATGTTCAATTCTTCCGCCGCTTTTTTTCTGGACGGGGTAACCGTTTCACCCACCCAGGTGCTCACCGACTTCTATATCTAAGTCAAAACACTGTATTACCCTGGCTAAAAACGTTTTAGAGGCAATGTTAAAGGATCGCGAAGACTACTCCTTCTCCCTTAGCGAGAATAGGGGTGCCCCAACCCCGATCACATTCTAACCTTCTTTGTTCGTGTTCATCTTTAACTCGAGATCAAGCAGTATTTCATATCTTTCCATGTCATTCCCTTTTTTGATTCTTTCACAGATAGGCTCAACAAAGTTGTGATTTCTTCACCACATACTTACCCTATCATAGTGGCGAGTACTGATAAGATAGTGCTATGCTACGAGACTATTGCTCTACTCTACTTCTACTTCTTCACAAATATTTTGTTAGCTCATTTGGTATCAGCAAAACATTTTGTATAGTGAAGACATCAAACAACACATGTATAGTGCTCACCAGGAGTCAATCCTATTCATAACACCATCAGCGTCATTCACTTTGTCCTCTCTCAGTTTTGAACGGCTCGTCACAGCTCATCGTTTATTCTTCTGACTATGTACATGAATCAGATGACTGGTATCGATGATGAAATATAATAAATTCTGAAAAATAGGTCTGCTAACGTTGACCGATCCCGTGCAGGGATACGCTACGCATTCGACAATCATTCTGGACCGAGTGGGGGCTTTGAATGTGTATGTGAGCAATGCAATGACTTGTGGTGGCGAGCCAATGCAAGGTGGTCGAGGCCTTAATTTTCTCAGGCGAGTTCGGAACCAGCTAACCGATTTCCGAAGAGATGGAAGGCTTGGTCTTCCTGGACGAGCTTATCCTATCTCAAATCGCACATTTGTTAGTTTGCCTTCCTTCATTGCAACATCCATTTCCATGTCGCATTGAAGGATATAGATAAACTCGAACTGTTTGGTCTATAGTCACTTGTCATCTTCAACATATACGATATTGAAGTGATAAGTGCATAACGAAGTGCTCTTGGGATCGATACT